GAGAGAGAGAGAGAGAGAGAGAGAGAGAGAGAGAGAGAGAGAGAGAGCTCGGTGGTGCCCCACACGTGGCCTCTGGGGCGGCAGAGCCGGAAACTGGATGGGGCCTCTGCCCAGCGCAGGGGACCTGGGACCGCCGGCCGGACATACCTGGATGGAGCCGCTGAAGGCGATGATCTGGTTCTTCATCTCCTCGCTCCACAGGCCCCTCTCGGTCAGGTCCTTCAGCAAGTGGGGGTTCACAATCTGCAACCCCCAAAGCCCAGCAGTCGCCTTAGGCACCAGCCACTCCCTTTCGCCCCCCCCCCCCACTGTGGCCCACGCCCACTTCCACGCCCTTCTCTGGGGGAGGCAGGCAGTTTGTTTCCTGCAGGCAGTCCTCGACTTACGACCGCTCTTTTAGTGACCACTGGGAATTTCAACAGCCTTGGAAGAAAGGGAACCAGGCACTGAGGATCACACACACACCCCTCCGTGCATGTGACAGCCGCAGCTGCAGCGTCCCCCAGGGGCCAGGTGATGGCCCTCCTCTGCGGCCTCCCCAGCCGGCTTCTCACAAGAGAGGTCAAGGGGGGCAGGGGGGACACGCTGGATTTGCTTAATGACACGATTCACTGAACAACTGCAGTGATTTACTTAAGCACCGAGTCAAAAAAGGTTGGAAAATCAGATGCGCCCCACTTAACGCCCCCAGTTGCTTAGCCACTCTTAGAAATCCTGGCCCGCCTGTGGTCGCAAGTCGAGGACTGGCTGCATTCTGCACGCAGCCGCCCGGAGCCTCCCAGCCCCAGTGAGGGGACGGCCGTGTCCTTCCTCCTCTTCCTCCCCGCAGCCCTGGACCCGGGGGCCCCTCCCCCCCTCCCTCCCCCCTCCCGAGGCTCCTCGGGACGGCCCTTGCCTGGAACTCCCCCGAGAGGACCCGGCGGGTGTAGATGTTGCTGGTGTAGGGCTCCACGGACTCGTTGTTCCCCAGAATCTGAGCCGTGGAGGCCGTGGGCATCGGGGCTACCAGGAGGCTGTTCCTGACCCCATACCTGGAAGAGACGGGCAGGAGAAACGGGGCTGGCAGGGGCCCAGCAGGCACCAAGGGCCCCCTCCCCGGCTGGGCTGGGCAGGGCCCCCACCCTCTGCAGCAGGAGGCCGGGGGGAGGGGGGGCACGCGGGCCTTGCACTACTCACTGCGCAATTTTTGCCTTCAGGGCGCTCCAGTCCCAGAGGCCTGTGGGGGTCACGCCCCACATGTCGTACTGGAGGATCTGCGAGAGGGAAGGAGGGAGGGAGGGAGCCCCCTTCATACCGGAACAAGCCAGCTCACCCCCACTGAGCAGGGCTTGCCAAGGCAGGGTGCCCATTCCCCAAATTTCCTTGCCCGGGGGAGCTAAGGGGGGGGTCGGGGGGCTCTGCCCATCTAACTGGACACTGCAGAGATTCTCTGGGTTTGAAAAAAGAAGGTAACCCCCCCCCGCTGCACTCAGATGTCTCCTTGCAGGCATTTCGTGTGTCAGCTAGGTAACATCCTTGGTGCCGCCGCCGCCGCGGCCATCCCATATGACCTTCCCTAGCAGGCGGGTCACGAGCTCAGAGACCCCAAGGAACCGCCCTGGGCCGAGATGGCCCAGAAGTCCGAATTCCGCCTCCCAAGATCAGGGAGACCAAAAGGGCCTCTTTTTCCAGTGGGACTCCAGAGGCCTTAGGCCGCCCCCTCCAACCTCAGGCAGACCCAGCCCCCCCCCCCCTCCCGAAGCCCCCCCCCCCACTTACTCCTCTGCTGACCGGGCTGCCCTGGTAGGTCTCGTAGGGCCCGTCTTCCCTGGCCAGCTGGCAACTGGCCTCCAGGGCCCAGTAGTAGATGGTCTCGAAGATCTGCCGGTTGAGCAGCTGGGCCTCGGGGCTCTCGAAGGGGAAGCGCATGAGGATGAAGGCGTCGGCCAGGCCCTGCACCCCGATGCCAATGGGGCGGTGGCGCTTGTTGGAGGTCTCCGCCTGGGGAGGGAGGGAGGAGAGGGGAGGAGGGCTCAGCCGGCCTCGCCTCAGGGGGCCCCCGGAAGGGCTCGTGCGGAGCCTCACCAGGCCGGGCCCCCTCCCCTAAACCTTGCCCCCTGAGGGGGGCTGGGAAGGGGGCCTTCTCCGTGGCCTCCCCACAGCCCCCTCTGCCCGCTGAGGCCTGGCCCTGGAGACCGGCCTTCCCCCAAGCGCTGGGAGGGGATCGGGGGTGGCAGGTCGCCCCAAAGGTCGGGGGGGTGGGGGGTGGGGAGTTTGCAAGAGGCAACTGGAGCGTCCAGGTTTTCTTTGAAGACGTTTTCCTTCTCACCCCAGGAGCTTCTTCAGCTCAGACTGGATGGTGGGCAAGGGGAGGATTCTTGGAGGAGAAGCCAAACACCTTCAGAGAAAAACCAGCCCCCTCCTGGAAAAGGACCCCTGGGCCCCCCTGCCCTGCCCCCCCCCGCCCCCCCCCAAGCTTCTCAGCACCCTCACACTTTGAAAGCGATTCAACCTCTTTTCTTAACGCTCGACTAGGAGCCGCCCAGGGCCGGCGGAAAACGGGGGACGGGGCTCCATAACGGCTCCCGACAGAATAAACCGGCAGGAAACGATCTCCCCGCCTGACTGGCGGCTGGTTTCCCGGCACCTAGACCGTGGGCGCCTCGCTTAGTGACTGTCACGACCGGCGACCCAGCCCCCCCGGGAGGGAGAGGGGGGGGGGCGGCTCCCACGTACCTCCGGCACCGGGTAGTGGTTGATGTCGATGATCTTGTTCAGGTTCCGGACGATGACCTGGGTGACCTCGGCCAGCCTCTGGAAGTCGTAGCTGGGCTCCTGCGTCACGTACATGTTCAGCGCTAGGGAGGCCAAGTTGCAGACGGCCACCTGGGTGGTGCAAGCGGAGAGAGGCTCTGACGGGAGGGGAGGCCACTCGGGCGGCCCCCTCCGCCCCTGGAGACCCCCCCCCAGCCCAACGAAAGCCTGGCCCTTGGGGCCTCCCAGCCCCCGGATTCCCAGCCTCGGCCCAGGCAGGGGGGGTCCCCGTTTATGTCCCTTCATGGAGGGGGGGGGGTCCCCTTAAACGCCTCCCAAACCACGTTGGCCAAAGCCCGGCTCCTCGGGGGACACTGTGAGGGGAGGGGAGGGGAGGACCGGCCTTGACTCCCCTCCCGCTTCTCCACGGAAGGCTCCCCCCCTCCCCCCCCCACTCAGGGGCTTTTGGCCAGTCAATGAACCAGGGAGGTTTGTGGCAGGCAGGTCCCAAGCCCGCTTTCTGGGCACCCTCTTGGGCTTGGCTGAAAGGGAGAGGGGAGGGGGGAGAAAGGGGAGGGGGGAGAAGGGGAGGACAGGGAAAAGAAAGCGAGGGGAGAGCCCGGGAGGAAGAGGAAGAGGAAGAGGAGGAGGAGCAGAAGGGGGAGGGAGCCCACCTCCTCCTTGCTGGTGTACTCCACGATCTCGGTGCAGAGGTTGCTGCACTTGATGGTGCCCAGGTTCTGCTGGTTGCTCTTCCGGTTGCAGGCGTCCTTGTAGAGCATGTAGGGCGTCCCCGTCTCCGTCTGGGACTCGATGATGGCGTACCAGAGCTGGTGGGACTTCACCACTCTGCGCACCCGGCCCTGCTTCTCGTAGCTGTGGGGACAAGCGCAGGGGCCCCGGGGGCTCCTCAATCGCCGCCCAGCCTCAGCACAGCCACACCACCGGTGTCCGTCCCCCCCAGTGAAACGGGGAGGAGGGCATGCTGAGGACCCATGCCGGGGGAGATGCCCCTCCCCTCCCCTGCCCCCCCTTCTCCAGTCAGAAGGGCCCCCACCTCCCACCAGAGCCCCCTGACCGGGGCCCTTAGCCGCCTCCCACCCACCTCCCACTGCAAACCCTCAGCCCCCAAGAGCTCCTCGCTGGCGGCCCCTCTGAGCCCCCTCCTAGCCTGCTGGATGGGCCCCCTGGGAGGCCCCGAAGGACGGGGGGGGGAGCTTCCCGGGCACCCCCCCCCCCCCCCTGGTCCAGCCCCCCCCCCTACCTTTCATAGAGCCGCTCAAACTCCTCTCCCCAGACCTCGTCCAGGCCAGGACATTCGTTGGGACACATCAGGGACCAGTCCTGCGGAGGGAGGGGGAAGGCTCAGACCCCGTGGGCTGGAGACCCCCACCCAGGAGGAAGGCAGAGGGGCAAGGACCCCCACCGGACTCTCCTCCCTGTCGGGAAATGTCTCCCCGTTCCCAGGCTGGCTCCCCCCCCCGCGGCTCCTTGTCCTGGGTGGGCCGAGAATGAACGCCTAGCCCAACGTCACCCAGGTGGCTTTCATGCCCCGGGCGGGGCTGCCACGCACCCGATTTCACCACCTTTTTTAACACCCTCGCCACAAGGCGAACCCCAAGGCCGTAAAGAGTTTGCCACTGTTTGCCATGGGATGTTTCTGCTGGAAGGGTGTAACAGGAACGGCGGTGACCGCAGGGCCCTGCCAGGTGACCCTGAGGGAGCAGCCATCCGAACCGGATTATGGGTACTTTGGGGCGGGGACCGCAGAACTTCGGACGGTCATAAGGCGAGGACTGCCCATCCGCTTTCCTTCCGCAGGTGTAACCTTCAGGCGTTGATAGAAGCCTTGAACGGGCGTCCATTCAAGGCAGAGACCCGCCCAGGGGAATAAGGCCGGCCCCTCCCAGGCCCCCAAGGAGAGGATGCCGTTTGCCCAGCGCCCCCCCCCCCCCCCCCCCCCTCCCCCCCCCCTGCTGTCACCTGGTTGTTCTCCACCCGCTTCATGAAGAGGTCCGGGATCCAGAGGGCGTAGAAAAGGTCCCGGGCTCTCTGCTCCTCCTTCCCGGTGTTCTTCTTCAGGTCGAGGAAGGCAAAGATGTCGAAGTGCCAGGGCTCCAGGTAGATGGCGAAGGCCCCGGGTCTCTGGGGGGGGGGGGAGGGAGGGGGGGGGGCCCGGTCAAGAGACGCATCCAGAAGGCCCTTCCCCTCTGCCCGGGGGGGGCGTCTCTGGGGCCTCTTCCCAAACCCCCAGGCCCGCCAGCCTCGGAGGCCTTCTCGCCCCGGGCACAGGAGATCCAGGCGGCGGCTGCCCAGCCTCTTCCCGGAGCCCTGGCACGCAACTCCTGCCGGAGGCTCCTCCCCGGGGGGCTCCTCCTTCCCACGGTCCGGAGGCTCCTCCTTAGCTGCTTCCCCCCCACCCCTTCGGGGGCTTCGGAGGATGAACCGGCCTCCCCGCTCCTTCTCTGGGCAGCCCCTCAAGGCCCGGAAGGCTGCTCTCACGTCACCCCGCCCTCCTTTCCTCTCGGCTGGCCAGGCCCGGTTCCCGCAGCTGCTTCTTTCGAGGTTTTAGCCTCCAGCCCCCTCATCCTCTTGGCTGCCCTCCTCCCCACGTCACCCCTCGCCAGGGACAAGCCCCCCTGAGCAAATGGATCTTTCCTTTCAGGCGCCCCGAGAGCTTCTGCCCCAGAGACACAGGGCTTGAGTGTCCAATCGCCCTTGCCCAACCAAGCATTCTCCCCTATTCCGTTCCCTTCTGTTCTATTCTGTTCTATTCTATATTTCTATTCTACTCTATTCTGTTCTATATTTCTATTCTATTCTACTCTATTCTATTCTATTCCTTTTCCAATTCTGTTCATCTATTCTATTTGTTAGGAATAACAAGGTTACCTAACGTAGTTTGGGTAAAATAATATATATAAACTATGATTGTAAGTTTAAGAGTGTGTCACTTTAAACTGCAAAGCATGTAATTTTGGGTGCGGTTGTGAACCGCCATAAGAGGGAGCAAGAGAACCTGATTGATTGCTGATGATTGACTGGTTTGATGGATTGCGAGGAGATATATTACTGGACTGATATTTGTAAGTTTACTGACCTCTTTTTTCGACACTGGACTTTGCAACTGAATAATCCCCGAACGGACTGAATTAGTGAATGATATATGGACTGTTTTGACTATGCTAAAACTCTTACTGGAATAAACTATTTAACTAGCACAGTGTGTCTGTTTTACTGAGTGTAAGCTACAAAAAGGTTTATCTCACATATTTTGCCTGCCTGCCTGACTGCCGTGCAGATTCTGCTAGGGTGTATCCCTAATACTATATTCTATTCTATTCTATTCCATTCTCTCCTCTCCTCTTCTCTCCTCTTCTCTTCTTTCCTATTCTATTCTATTTTATTCTATTCCATTCCATTCTCTCTTCTCTTCTCTTCTCTTCTCTCCTATTCTATTCCACTCTCCTCTCCTCTCCTCCTCTTCTATTCTATTCTTTCCTATTCTGTTCTTTCCTATTCTATTCTATTCTTTCCTATTCTATTCTATTCTATTCCATTCTCTCTTCTCCTTTCCTATTCTATTCTATTTTATTCTTCTATTCTATTCCATTCCATTCCATTCTCTCCTCTTCTCTCCTATTCTATTCTACTCCACTCTCTCCTCTCCTCCTCTTCTATTCTATTCTATTCTATTCTATTCTATTCTATTCTATTCTTTCCTATTCTATTCTATTCTATTCCATTCTCTCCTCCTCTCCTCTCCTCTCCTCTCCTCTTCTATTCTTTCCCATTCTAGTCCACTCCGCTCTACTCTGGGCTACCAAGAGGGGCCCTCCAACCTCAGGGACAACCTGAAGCCTCGTGGCCTTCCCCTCCCAGGGCTCCTCAGCCAGCCGTTCTGGGGGTTGGGAGTCCGCAGGCCTTAGAACCAGGCTTGAGGAGGAGACCCTGGGGCCATCATTCCTCGCCCCCACCCCACCCACCCCCCCGCCCCCTGGGGAGAAGGCCGCCTACCTTATTTCCCCCTTGGTCCACGTAGCGAGCCGTGTTGTTGTAGACCCTCAACATGGGGACCAGCCCGTTGGAGTTGCCGTTGGTCTGAAAAAACCCGAGAGGTCGGAGAGAGTGAGAGGGATCCGTCTGCTCTGCTCCGGGTCAGTTGCCTTCCCCAGCACCAGAATCGGCCCATGGCCGGCGGACGCACCCCAGCAATGTAGCTGCCGGTGGAGCGGATGCAGCTCACGGCCACCCCGATTCCGCCCGCAGACTTGGAGATGAGCGCGCAGTGCTTCAGCGTGTCATAGATGCCCTCGATGCTGTCGTCCTTCATGCACAGGAGGAAGCAGCTGGAGGGGAAGGAACAGGCAGGTTTCCAGGCGCCGGTGCCGCAAGTTCCCCTCCCAGCCCAGGCGGAGCCCTGAGCCCTGGACAGGTGTCCCCGCGCGAGGGCGGCGCTCCCCAGGCCCAGTCTAGCTGCTTAGGCAGCCCGGCAGAGCCTGTCCGTTTGCGTGGCCAGACAAGCAGGCCCAGGGACAGCATCTTCCCTCGTGCCCTCCCTCTGCGGAGCCCCAAACTCTCCCGGCAGATAAAACTGGGTGAGGGCGAAGGTTTTGGTCTGATCCTTAGGTCCATTAACCCCTAGGGCAGGATTTTTATCCCTCTTAGTATTACCTTGGCTTCTATCCTTTATTGGCTGTACAATATTATTATTATTATTATTATTATTATTATTATTATTATTATTATTA